CGAGAAGACGGCCAAGCTCATCGAGCTTATGGCCGCTAGACAAGGGATTGAGATAGACGATCCCAAAAGAAGACTAAGAGGAAGGCCGATAAGACCGAGGAGGTTGACGAGAAACCAGCCTCCAAGAAAGCGGCAGTGGACCCCTTCCCCCCGCTCCCAAAGAAGAAGACAGTGGAGGAGAAGACCACCCCACCCCCCCCGTCAACCACCGAAGACAGGATGGACACCGAGCAGGCCCAGCCAGCTCCCAAGCCTAAAACAAGAAGGCCGCCACCCCTATATATACATAGGGAAGACCAGTGGCAAACAATGAAGAGGGAAAGAAGATCCCAGCCGACAAGCCGGCAAAACTCACCAGGACCGGCATAAAGGTCCAACTGACGACCGAGAAGAATTCAGAAGCGTAAGGAAGACGCTCGAAGAGAACAAGGTGGAACACCACACATACTCCCTGCCAGACGAAAAATCCCTGTCAGTTATCATCAGGGGCATGCCACTGATGACGGGGGAGACGAAGTTAAAGAGGACCTGGAATCTAAAGGATTCCACCCAAGAAGAGTCAACAGACTCACCAGCAGGCGAACCAGGAAGAAGATCCCGCTGGTCAAGGTGGATCTTCCAAAGGAAGAAAAGAGGATTTACGATCTGACAGAATGCTGTCAGATGATCGTAACATCGAAGCACAGAAGAAGAGAGAAGGACCGGGCCAGTGCTACAGGTGCCAGCAGTTCGGGCACAGCCAGCAGAACTGCTCCGGGGCACCGAAGTGCGTGAGATGTGCAGGGGCACATCGCGCATCGGAGTGCAAAGTGCCACAAGAAAGAGCGGCAACCTGCGCCAACTGTGGTGGGAGCCACCCAGCGAACTACGGGGGATGCCCAAGACGCCCGAGCTCAAAACCAAAGAGCAAACCCGCCGCGGAGGAGAAGAAGAAGATCACGAAGCCAGCCCCAGTAAGACCAGGACAGAGCTACGCAAGGGCTGCAAGAAGCAACGAGACGGCCCCCCGAAGGCAGGAAAGACCCTCCACAAACCGGGAAGAAGAAGACGGGGATGAACTGAAGAGGTTCATGGAAACCCACATGGCCCAAATGAAGAGGCTCATCATGAATACCCCCGAAGCCAAGGAGGCATTCATGACAAGCAAGAACAGAAGAAACGCCAACTAAATGGGCAGCCTGCCAACATCTAGGACCCTACGGATATTGAGTTGGAACGTACATAGTGCTTCCAACAAGAAGTACGAGATAGGAGAACTGCTAACTCGAGGGGACTACGATGTGATGGCGTTACAAGAGACAATGCTCTCAAGCAGAGTTCCAAACTGGACCTTCCCAGGGTACACGACGTACAGGAAGGACCGAGACCAGAGAGGCGGAGGCGTGCTGATCTCCGTAAGGAGCAGCATCAGCCACGACCTGCTAGGAATCCCCGATCTGAGGACTACAGAAGCAGTAGGAATAGCCGTGTACACGGAGGACTACGGCACGCTGAACATCATCTCGGTATATATACCACCAACGGTGACTCTGCATATGGACGACATCACGCAAATCAGCGGAATGGGCGAGAGCATTGTCATCATAGGAGATCTGAACGCCAAATCTAGGATCTGGGGCTCGCGCACGAACAACAGACATGGCGAAATCCTTGCGACGCTGATGGATGAACCGGAGTACTCCATACTAGGACCTGACGAACCCACGCTGTACCCAGACAACGGTACAAGGCCCGATGTAATAGACATTGCTATCTTGAAAAAGGTAGACGTGTCTTGCAACATTGGTGTTCTGCAAGAAGGAAGCTCTGACCACAACCCCATATTCCTGGAAATAGGAGAGGGAGCACCAAACGTGGAGAAGAGGATAGCCAGAAGAGTGAACTGGGACCGGTTCCGGCGAACCTTTCACTACTCACTCGGCCCACTACCTCAGATAGAGACTCCTGAAGGCATAGAGGAAGCAGTTCAGGACCTAGAACGGAAGATCCAGGACGCGCTAGATGCTACTACCACGGTAGAAGACATCACGCAGCCCAACAGGTTCAGAGACCTACCCCCAGAGGTGAACCAGAAGATCACCGACAGAAACAGGGCAAGAAGACTAGCTCAACGAACAGGAGACCCAGAGCACAAACGAGAGCTAAAAGGAAGACCGAAGAGATGAGAAAAGCCCTGATGGAGCACCATCAACGCAGCTGGCAAAGAAAATTAGAGGAACTAACACCAGGTGAGCCAGGAATGTGGAAGCTAGCGAAGATCCTGAGAAATCGCAGACAACAAGTTCCCCCGCTGCAAGGAGCCTACGGGACCGCGTACACGAACGACGAGAAGGTCGAAGCATTTGCAGATAACTTACAACGGCAGTGTACGACATACATGCACCCAGATGAGGACGAAGACTTCGTAGAAGAAGTGGAAAGAAGATCCAGAAGAGCTACGAGAGGAGGAGAAATGGTGCAGCAAGCCACCTCCCCGACGGAAATCAGGGACATCATCAAGACCCTCAAGACCAGGAAAGCAGCGGGCTGCGACCGAATAGGGAACAGAATCCTGAAGAGGCTCCCGAGAAAGGGCATGGTGGCCATAACCAACATCGTGAACGCTATGCTGAGGCACCGATACTTCCCGGACAGATGGAAGATCGCGGAAGTAATAAACATCCCGAAGCCTGGGAAAGACCCAAAATTCCCACAAAACTACCGGCCAATCAGCTTACTAACTTCCTTGAGTAAAGTTGCAGAAAGGGCAATCGAGCGAAGACTTAGACAACAAACCGAGGACCTTAGAGTACTGCCAGACGAACAGTTCGGATTCCGGAGCGGCCATTCATCAGAGCACCAGCTGCTTCGGCTCGTGGAGTGTGGGACGCGTGCGTTCCAGGCTCGGCGAGTCGCGGGGGCGGTGTTCGTGGATGTCGCGAAGGCATTTGACACCGTCTGGCACGACGGACTCATCTATAAGATGCAAGACAAGGGATACTCGACAGGGATGATTCAGCTGGTGAAGTCATATCTGAAGAACCGAAGATTCCGGGTTAGACTGGGAAACACCACCTCGACGACCAGAACTGCAGAGGCTGGGGTACCGCAGGGAGCGTCCTATCCCCTCTACTATACGCCATCTACAGCTCCGACGTTCCGAAGACCCCAAATACGCAGCTGCTGATGTATGCGGACGACACTGCGTACGTAGCCGAGTCATTTCAGCCCCGCATGGCTACGACTTACCTACAAAGAGCGACAACCAGTCTACAGGAATGGTGCAAGAAATGGAGGATCCAGCTAAATCCAGATAAGACCGAGGCGATGCTCCTCAGGAAGAGCCGCAAGACCCCTGAAGGCAACCTCAAGATGACGACCACAGAAGTGCTGAGAGGCCTGGTGCGTGACGAAGAAAAAGGTACAGTGGACAGACACCAGCAAGTACCTCGGCGTCAAGATAGATAAGGGTCTCACCTGGAAACACCATATAGAAGCCCAAGTGCAGAAAGCCAAGATGGCAAGAGCCAAGCTAAGACCGATGCTTGGAAGAAGGAGCAAGCTCTCCCTGAACAACAAAATGCTGCTGATCAAGATGGTGCTCCTACCGATTATGACCTACGCGTCAGTTGCTTGGGGCTACGCAGCCAAGACGTGGAAGAAGAAGCTCCAAGCACAACACAACATAGCACTCCGAGAAGCGGTCAACGCACCGTGGTACGTGCCAAACCGAGTGCTATACGAAGACCTGAGACAAGTGCCAGTGCTCGAAGTGATGAAGACCAGAGCTCGGAAGTTCTTCAACAACGCCGAAGAACACGAGAACCAGCTCATCAAGGCCGCCTTGGACTACGATCCAAGGTTCATACATAGGCACAAAAGACCGAAGAGCCAGCGCTAGAAGACATGGGACACAGCAGCTGATGAGTCCTAAAGAAGAGGGGTAGAACCTCGCGAGGAAGGTACTGCATGCAAGATAGGCAAAGTCCTGTGCAGTACCGGTGGTCAGACGGCGAAGATTTGCCATGCTGAATGCACCGATCTCATTTGAGGTGCGGGGCATTTAGATGGCACTAACAAGCGGGCCTTCTGACGACTTCGGCATTTGTCGGCGTGGTCAGGAGGCAACACTCAAGAAAGAAGATCAAAAAACCGAAGAACCCAAAAGCCGTCTTGGGAAACCTTAATGTGGACCTCAGGTCAAGGTCCCACCGATGGAACCCCAAATAGAGGACGACTCGTAAAACCGAGAAAGGTACACGAGTATAAATGACCACTTCCGTTCTGCAGCCGTGCTTCCGCGTCGTGATTAGCTTACCACACCTTTCGGCGGGGCAAAATTCCGAGGGGGGGAAAAGCGCGAAAATTTAAAGGGCAAAATTGGGTGGGGGGTGGGGTTTGCGTCCGACAGGAACACAAGTTGCAGGAGCGTCCAGTCCACGTACCGCCACTGGGGCCGGAAAGAGTGAGGGTACCTGGACCGGGGAGTGGTGGGTTCGCTTAGGAACTTTGTGTTCCTGTTCCAGTCGTTCCGTCAGTTCCGAGCTAGCAGCCGTCACGAGCATACACTTGTGCGACTGCGACCCCCGGACATATTGAGCAATCTTATTGCAATTTTCATTGCGATAGATTGTTTGTTTGCCATCTACGATGGCAAAAATTGAGAAGCTGGCTAACCAGCTGAAAGAAAAGAAGGATGCGTTCGCCATGCTGGAAGAGCAGATGCGAAACCTGCAAGAAGCATTCTTGCAGGCCAGACAGGAAATTGAAGACCTGAGCGGGAAGCTCCGCAGGGCCAAGAAGAAGGCCGCAAAGAAGACAGGAGAGAGGAGGAAGAGGACCACCAGGCGACATCGGACGAGATGGACGCCCAAGAAGAGGGCACTCAACAGACCGAAGGACCGAAGGAAGAAGAAGCCGAGAAGAGGACGGACGACACCGACTTCAGTGTCGCCACCAGACGGAGGAAGCGGGTGCGAGTTTCCTCCTCCGAAGAAGAAGAAGAACCCAGGCAGCGAAAGATGCCAGCTGCCACAAAGAAGAGTGGTCCTAGAGCAACCAGGACCACCGAGGCCCCCATGGCAGGAACAGGAGTTCCGCCAATCAACATCGAGGGCACCGCTGATTGGTCATCCTTGAGTAGGATGATGAACAGCAAGGGGATTCAATTCTCCAAAGCGAGGACGGCGGGTACCAGTGTGAAGGTATTCACAAATACACCACTGACTACCGTCAGCTAGTCGCAC